GAAGATTTGGGAGCTGCTGCCTTGAAAATTTACATTTAAGGAAAGACCAGGAAAGTGATGGTGAGTGTGAAGGGCAGAATGGATATTATGATGAACATAAAAAATGTAGAACAATTACCTATAATAAAAATGTTACTGATAGTAGAGGTCAAAAATGTAAAACATTTTGGGAAAAAACTCCATTTTTGTCAGTTACATTTGCTGACTCACAAGTTTCTGTAAGTAAATATCAACAATTTTTGGAGCATACCTATTCTCTGAAAGGAAATTTGGAAAATCTAAATAGTGACCTACTTCATGTTCCAAATAATGATTTGAGCTAGTTAAAATGTGGAATTGGATTAGATGTTAATTCAAATGTTTCTCAAGATTTGGCAACTAAAAATGAAGATATTTCTAAATGTAATCAATTTGATGGGTACTTTATTGAAAATTTATTATTCTTCCACCAAAAAAAATGCCTTCTTTTCTGGAAGTCTGCAACTTTGATCCGTATGGGAAGGTTTTTATCCATTCATCATTACTTAATCTGTATCAGGGAATAAATAATTGGGGAAACATTCCACATACAATAAAACTTCCATGTCTTTTAACCAGGACTCTACCCTAAATAATGAATAGTATATTTGCATTGCAGACCAAAATCATCACTGCTATAAAACTGAGAAAAGTGTTAACCAAGGCTCTATCCCTGGAAAGTATCAGAAAACTAATTTTCCAGAGAACCATTTCAAATGCAAAAAATGTGAGAAAGTCATCAATACTCAAAGCTTATTATCCATCAGAGTATCTGTATTTGAGAGCAGTCTGGCAAATGTAGTAAACATATAGAAACTTTTGCTGAGTCATCAAAACATACACAGCATAAAGGAATCTCTTTTGAAGAAACTCATGTAGGTACAATAAATGCAAGAAAGTCTTTAGTCATCAAATCTCAGAAAACATAAGACAATCCATACTGAATAGAAACCCTGCAAATGTATAGAATGTGACAAATCCTTTAAGTGTAGTTCACATCTTACTTGATATCAGAGAATTGATACTGGAGAGAAACCCTACAAAAGTAAAGAATGTGGCAAAGCCTTTGGGAATAGTTCATATCTTACTGAGTGCCAGAGAATTCATACTGGATACAAATGTTAGAAGTGTAAAGCATGCAGTATATCTTTTACTCATTCTTCAACTCTTTAAGCATCAGAGAATTTATACTGGAGAGAAGGCCTACAAGTGTAAAGAATGTTGGAAAGCCTATAACTATAGTTCATATCTTTTCAGCACCAGAGAATTCTACTAGAGAAAAATCTTTCCAAATGTAATAAATGCAGTAAATCTTTTACTCATTTATCTAGTCTTATTAAACATCAGGGGATTCATACTGGAGAGAAACTCTACAAATGTAAAGAATGTGGCAAAACATCTAACTGTAGTTCAAATCTCACTCAACATCAGAGAATTCATACTGGGGAGAATACTTTTAAATATAAAGAATGTGGCAAAACCTTTAACTGTAGTTCAAATCTTACTCACCATTAAAGAATTCCTACTGGAGACAAACCCTACAAATGCAAAGAATGTGGCAAATCCCTTACCTATAGTTTCCATCTTGCTTGACATCAGAGAATTCATACTAGAAAGAAACCCTACAAATGTAAGGAATGTGACAAAACCTGTAACAATAGTTTCCATCTTACTCGACATCAGAGAATTCATAGTAGACAAACTCTATAAATCTAATAAATGAGGAAAACATTTTATACAAAATATACAACTTAGAAACCACCAGAAATTTTATAGGGAAATAAACTTTATGGAGCAATATGTATTGGGAAGTATTTACTCAAAGTTGAAGAAATCTAACTGCTTCAGGAAATTTATGCAACAAAAAACTCTTTACAAACAAAGTGTTTACAAACACTTGTAAACATTACACTAAAGCAGTATATTTACTATAGAGAATATACAAAGTTAAAGTGATTAGATAATTTATTTGTATGGTTCAAAGGAGTAAGAACCTTGATGTTTGGATAAACATACTTATATTTAATGAATACTTATTTTTATAGGCAGTATTTGATGTGTTTCAAAACAAATATTATGATGTGTTTCAAATATCAAATCAGCTGATGCTATGTCAATCTATAGTGTTTATATGGAAATATGTAGTCTACTCTTTCTTCATCAGAACTATTAGACACCATTCTGTGTTAGATGGGCATCATTAATATCAATTTTTCCATGGATGTATAATAGGAAACATACAATACATGAAAATAATCTAAAGAAAGATCCTTTATTTTTTTGAATTATAAAACAGTGATGCATGTAATCATAGGGTACATTTTCAGGACATTATTCTTCTGTATTAAAGTAAAAGAGAAAAATTCTGAATTTTCAAAGTAAATCATTTTACCAATTACCCGTTAAGTAGAAAAACTGGCCAGTTAGTTAAAATACTAAGATATCTTTACAGTAGAATGAAGTAGAAGTCTTGAGTATTATTTGCTGAGACAGAAGGCATAATAGAAGACTTGAATATTATTTAATGTGATACAACAGTGAAAAGGAGACACAACTACCGTATTAAAGGTTGTAAATGTATGGCCAATCAACTTTCACTAAATAATTAGCTGTATTCTTTTAAAATGAAAAAAAGAATAACTCTAAGGTCACTATATCAGGACACTAATGCTTCTTGAATGCTTTTAAGTGCATTTTGCTCATAGTATACATAGTGGAATTTAATATGCTTTATTTAGATTCCAAGCGAACATAATTTGTTTAAATTAATTAAACAAATTGTTTTTTGTTGTTCTAACACTGATGTGCAATGCATGAAATGTTATACTGCCAGCGATATTAACAGCAATCTGTTAACCAAGATTATGGTTAACAGAGGGAAATAATATTTTATTGAGTAACATATTGGAATGACTTCTCTAGTAATCCCTTTTATCTGAGGACTTAAAATTTCAGTATTTTGGAGAATATTGTTCTCAAAGTTACTACTTTGTATTCTTTTCTGCCTTTTGTAATTACTGGGAAATTATGATGGTTCTAATAAAGAGTATAGGGTAGTATAATTAGAAGATATGCTATTTAAAATCATAAATCACTGTTTATGAAATTTTATGCCATATTTTTCTTTGCACATTCCCCCTTTCTGGGCCAAATGAACAGTTTTTTTTGTTTTGTTTTAATTTACATTGAATAAATGCAGTATACAAATTTATTAATTGAATGGTGTATATACTCTAATAGTGGTCAGAAATTTGAAAACATGAGCATTTTATTTACATAATACATTTTATTTTCTCCATGTTCAATTGGAGAATGAAGCTACAGTGATTATTTTTATTTTACATGACATCATAAATTGTACTGATTTTATTGGACTCA